CTCACCATGTCTAATGTAACCCAAGAAATGATGCAATTGTGTCAAGTGGCCTCCACCCAAACTGTGCCCTGCGTCACCCTGGGGAGCTCTCACTGCTGTTTTAGGTCAAAGCTAACTCAATTCTGTGGCTGGGGCTGCTGATATGCTTAGTTTCTGGAGTTCAGCTGTCCAGAGGAGATTGAGAAGAGCACCTATAATATGGGAATTCAAAAATGAGCTGTGGGGCATCTGGCAAGACCTTGAAATGCATTTTTTCCTGGGGATGAGGATCTGTTTCTTTTGTCTGATTCTATTATTTTGGGGTAGTAGGGTAAAACAAGAAATTGAAATGTTTCCCCTCTCAAATGTTTTGCTCACCAAAAATTAAATTTTTGTAATTCCTATGCAAGAAGGAAGCTTGAATCCATGGAAATCTAGGTTGAGCATCTTGAATATGCAGTTCCTTGGATAGCCACGGAAAGAAGCCTGAAGCAGGAGACATGACGTCACCTTCAGGAAGGAGACTCTTCTGCTGTCTGGAATGAAGAGAGGACGAATGAGGAGATTCACTGGCCTCCAACCCAAGGAGAAGCCAGAGCACCTTTTTGGGACCTAGTCCAGGCTCTGCCTTGAACATGCAGCTTCAAAAGAGACACTGTGCAGATTTCAAGCTGCCAAATCCTGGAGGCCCAGGGTAGGAACCCAACCTCAAGCAACCCAGATGGTAAATAGGCATTCTGTGCCCTTCCTGTGAAAATCAGGAGCCCCAAGTCTAAAGCCACTGCAGAATCAGAACAAAGACAGCTCAAGAGCCACCAAGGTCAGCCTTCCCCAACCTCCCATGGGAGAGGGAAGGGAGAACAAGGGCCTCCACCCATCCACCCACAAGCCCCTGAGTCTCTTTAGCCCTTGGCATGGTAATTAATGGCCAGGAAGCTATGCATCAGCCTTAGCAAGCTAACGTGGCAGGAGCTCCCTCCTGACAGCAGAGCTAATAAGAAATTTGCTAATGCAATTTATCACTTTAAAAAGCCATATGTCGGTGGGGATGAGCACTTCTCTGCAGCAGCCAATGTAATTGTCAGAGCAGAGCAGCAAGCAGATCACAGGAGGGAGGGAGGCTGACTGATGTCTTCACTAAAATCAGTGGTGCAATGCAGCAAGCCGCGGGCGGGCGGATGGAGGGGTGTTGTGGGGAGGGGTGGTGCTGGGCCCACAGTCTCAGCCCTCTGGCTCCTGGGAAGCCAGTTCTGAGGACCCATTAAGAACCAGATAGGCCCTGAGCTCCAGCCCCTGCTGCCTTTGGGCTTCAAGAACCTGCATTCCGGTTCCTGCTGCAGTATTCAAATAAACAAGCGGCTCAGTCTGCAAAGACACTGATCTGTCTCAGCCAGCAAGTGACAGCGCCCAGACCCCACTTGGACTCCTGCTGGATGTGCACGTTTGCTTTCTCTCTCCCAGACTCCAGCAATAACTCCACCCGGGACGACTAGTCCTGAGTGAGAGACAGGGAAAGACTGGAAATCTACCTTGGGCTCAACAAGGTCTATGCTCTCAGTTGAATATAAAAGCTTCTTGCTGTGAATATCCAGTGTTTGTCAAAAACAAGGAGCGGTTTCTGCAAGGGAGAACTGCTGTTGTGGGCTTTGGCTTCAAACACTCCCTGTAAACCGTTTTCCCCCAAAGCAAATTCATAGAGAAACAAGTAGTGCCCCTGTGGGAAGGGAGTCCAGGGCTGCCAGGAAGGCGGAGGGAGAGAAAAAATGTCCACATGGCTGGATCCCCACTGTTTTCTGGAATAGTCCCCACTCTCAATTATCTGTGCAAGTAAGAAGGGCTAGGAAGAGGGATGAGGGATGAGCCAACAACACCCAGAGGAACACCACACCCAATTTCCATCAGTGCAGCTTTTTTCTAAAGCAAATCATGACCCTAATTATTACCTGTCCTCTAAATTAATGCTTTGGATTTTGGATAGAGGCACTCAAGGTACACAAAGCCCAAGGACCCAGGTAATAACCAGCAGAAAGATGAAACACTGCGCTGGAGCCTCCACAGCTGTGTGTGTCCTAGCCCTGGATAACTGAGAGGGGCTCTGTCCATGTCCTTCCTAAGACCTTCTGCTCAGCTAGTGTTGATGGGGATGGGTTGCATTGACTCATGGAGGACAGCCTGAGGATCCCTGGCCTTGGGAATTGAAGGCAACTGTGTGACACCCAGATGGTCCCAGAGACCCTGTTATATGTCCTTTAGAAGATACTTTAATACCTAACATCCTAGCCCCTTATTTAAAAATATTATTTATATTTACTATTTCCCTGTTTTTCTCCCATGTTTATTCCAAATAAATTCCAAATAAATTTTAATACTGTTTCTGTCATGTTCAAAACAAAGATAATCCTGTTGATGTTTGGTTGGGACTATGCAGAATTACTAGTTAAGGGAAATTTTTCACTTTGGAGGAGAGGCAAAACTTTTATCTCAACCCTCTTAGGAATTTCAGCTGGGCCTGAAAATTAAATGGACATGAGACAAATTAACAGGAGAAAAGTACACAGTTATTTAACATAAATATTACATGGCACAGGAACCCTCATATGGAAGCAAAGAGCCAAAGAAATAGAGTTAGACACTTATATATTGAGTTGGACAAAGAGTTTCACAAAGTAACTTGTTTTTGATCGGGAATAGTTAATCATGAAGAAGTGACTACAAAATAAGGGTTAGCTGACAAGGTTGGTTGGTATGGATGTTTTTCAGCCTTGAATCCCGTCCCTGGTGATAAGAATGTTGCTTCTTTCTGCTACTGGGAGGACACGCTCAGGGGTGTTATCTCTTGCTTTCAAGAAAAAAAAAAGGGGGGGAGATATCAGAGCACCAGACTGTAACTTGCTATTTTCACGTGCTTTTAGCTCAAAGTAATTTTTATGTCACCCTATGCCATGGCACATGCTTGTAATCCTAGCTACTTGGATGGCTGAGTCAGAAGGATCTCAAGTTCAAGGCCAATCTGGGCATCTTAGCAAGACCCTGTCTCAAAATTACAAAAAATAAAAATGACTGGGAATTTATCTCAGCGGTAAAGCTCTTCTGGACTTAATTCCTAGCACTATAAGAAATGTTATATAATAATATGCCAAATATTATATTATATATTATATAATTATATTATATAATTATAATTATATTATATAATATTAATATATAATTATATGATTATAATATATAATATTAATATATATCATATTAATATTATGATAGCCTCCTGAGTGTCAGGGCCTGCCAGAGAGAGCACTTCCAGAGCATTAGCACTTCCAGAGGAAGCTATCACAGCAGGAAAAGAGAAAGGGGAACTCCTGGGCCATAATCCTATATATTAATATTATATATAAATATAATATAAATATGTATAATATATAATTATACTATATAATATAATTATAATTCTATAATAATATGCCAAAATGGCATATTTTGAGGTACCATATTCTGCCACCTTTCACAAAAACTTTCAGACTTTCACAAAACTGAGTCTTCAAGTTAAAATATATCTTCAATTTAAATAAAGTCTTGTGGGACTGGGGATATAACTCAGTTGGTAGAGTGCTTGCTTCACATGTACAAGGCCCTGGGTTCAATTCCCAGCACTACAAAAAAAAAAAGAGAGAGAAAATAAATAAACTCTTGCTGTACAAGTACATTTTAAAATTCCAAGCTGCGTGCAGTGGCACATACCTGTCATTCCAGGGACTTGGGATGCTAAGGCAGGAGGATTACAAATTCAAGGCCAGCCTGAGCAACAAAGCAATACCTTGTTTCAAATTTTTAAAAATCAAAATAAAAAGGGCAGAGGATGTACCTCAGTGATAGAGCACCCCTAGGTTCAGTCCTCTGTATCGCAATAAATAAATTAATACTCCATATTGGCTCTGAATTACCTACCTTAACGGCTTATTTGCTGAAGAAAATATAGAATTTTAAGTATTGAGGGGATAATGTATTAACCTCTTCCTTGATTATCAGATAAAGTACATGTTGAGAGTGGGCTTCCTGGGTGCCTTAACTTAATCAGAAGGTACTGGAACAAACAGCCACCCCTAGGGTATGTGGGTCTTGATGCTGACCTAGGCCCTAGGCCCTGCAGCCTCCTTCATTTTGGTTCCACACCACACATAAGAAATCTCTAAACTAAACTAGAATAGCCCTCACTTCATCTAGTGCACAGCGAGTGCCTTGGGCCCTGGGGAGGAAAACTAAGGAAGGTGATGGGCATACCCCAAATATGGCACTTTAGCACAAGCAGGAGGGTCACTATCTGACCTTCTTCCACCTTTCTACCCTCAGGCCAAAAGAAAATTTCTCTCCCTTCTCCTCTGAAGCCCTCATATGACAGATGCCCTGACCTATTATCCAGAGAAAAGAAAATGAAGAAAACAGAAGAAGAATCTGAACAAACAGCCTTCACTAACTAAATTCTCCTGTTTATTGCCATTAGATCATGCCCATTTTGT